TAAACTATAATCTATTCCCTTCCCTAGTGCCTCTAAATAACCAAAACCTCTAGAATTCCAAAGACATTACGTTGACCATATCCGTCTTCTACCAAAAGCCTAACTAGCTAGCTGGTACTCACATCCCATCTCCAGATCAACACCATGAATCTCACCTCTTCCTCCACCTGATATCCTACTCCCCTTCTTCCTCCTCCTCAACTCTCTCGAGAATAGTCGCCATCCGCTTCGAGGTATTAAACTCTATCCACCTCGACCAGAGGCTCTTGTTCATGTATCTCAACCACGTCCATCTCCGATCAGTACTGTCCGGCGCAGGATTAGGGTCGCAGAAGCAGCGGTCGAGACCAAAATCTGGACAGGAGCATGCGGTGGTGGGGGTTGCAGTGGTTGACATAGCTTTGTGTGTATGTGGCGTGTTTATTGAATTATATCTTGCGACTTTTGGATTTTTGATTTTGGGCTTTTGTACTGTGTTTATGGATATTGTGATTTGGAAGCTAACGATGATAGTGATAGCATGAAATAAAATAACAACAAATGAATCTTGCAGAGATTCTTATACCCCAGGGCGGTAGTTTCAAGTAGTGGACTTTGAAGTCGATCATTCGGCAGGGGAAGACCTAGCTACCAAGGCTTCATGATGAGTTTTACTGAATCTTGAAAGATTGGAGTCAATTCTTGAAAGGCCCTCCACCCGCTGAAGAGATTTTTGGTCCCGTGATTATCAAAGAGGTTGGATCGGATACGAATGTTGCCTGGAACTTACTCGTGGGGGGTATTTTCGACAATGTATTGGCGCCGAGTGATCTTTTATGATCAAATTATCTCTGGATAATGATGATAAGGTTGAGAGTAGACCATACATATACAGGTGAGCACACAATTGATTTTGGCCATAAGCCAGCGCGAAAACTACATATTAAGGTCATTACTCATTATGAAAAACAAGAAATCCAAAAGGAAATATTTGTGTCAATCACAGTACGTACATCTACACACATAAACACAACATCTACGTACACGCGCCCTTCCCCGCCAACGTCTCGCGCGCAAGCGGCTTCAAATACTCCCCCACCGTACTCTCACTCCTCCACGCACTCCAATCATGGCTCAGTAGCCCCCACGTATCATCCACATCCACGCCCCCGCTCCTCACATAATAGCTACCTGCCACCGCCCAATTCATCCACCCCGCCCTGCGCTCCGGCAGGAACTCCTTGAGGCACTGCGCATACACGCCCTTCCACACGTCGTCATTCATCGAAAACCCAAACTCGCTCATCACCACGGGCATCGGATACACCACCTCGGGGTTCATGGTGTCGAGCGCGTTGAACCCGTTCGCATACAGGGCCTTCTTCATCTCATGGCAGTTGGTGGTGTTGATGCGGTCGGACATGGTGTAGACGTGCAGCTCCATGACGGCCTTGTCAGCCCAGGGGAAGTCAGATGCGCGGAAGATGAGACTGGCGTTGGTGGTGGAGAGAGGGGTGCCGAGAGGGAGCGGAGCAAGTGTCTCGGAGTAGTTGAGGCCTGAGAAGAAGATGAGGACGTCGGGGCTGGCGGCGTGGATGGCGGAGGCCGCGGCGGTCATGTGCTTGTACCAGTCGGCGAAGTCGTATGGGAGGGGAACGGGGGAGACGGTTGATTGGCGCAGCTCGTTGCGCATTCCGATTGATACGAGGGAGGGCCATTCGGGTGCCTATGGATTCGCTCACAGTCTTGTTAGCCCTACTGAACCAGATCAATGAAGTAGACATTACAGAGCCATATCGGCCACCCACCTTCGCCGCCAAATACGCCAGCCCCCGCTTCCACTTCTCAACATCGAAATATACATCCCCAAACCACGAATTCCCATCTTGCGCGCCACAGCACCACTGCGCCTTCGACACATGATTATCTAGATGCAGGGCTACCTGCTGCCTCCCTAACTCCGCCGCCACCCTCCTCCACACCTCCAACCGTGGCATCTCCGCCCAAAAGTCTCTATTGCTCTTCAACACGCTCTCCAGCACCCTCGTGCCGTTCGCCTGCCCCAGCGCGTTCACCAGCGTCTCGCGGAGACTGACGTCCGTGCCGTTGCGCTCATAGATCTCGTCGACCATCTGGATCGCGAACGTCAGGCGCACGGTGTTCATGCCGAGGCTCTTGATGCGCGCAATGATGGTCTTGTAGGATTGGTATTGCAGGCCCTCGGGGATCATGGGCTCCAGGTGCCCGGGCCAGTTGGTGCCGACCATGGTGACGGGGGTGTGGGTGGCGTCGGTGATCCAGCGGCCTGAGGTGCTCAGGGGGCGGTTGAACGCGAGGGCGCTCGTGGCGAGGGTGAAGAGCGGGAGGAGGGAGGGGAGGTGCATGGTGGAGGTTGATGCGGTGGTGGAATTGAGCTCTGGGAGATACTGGTTTGATTCTGGGAGGTATCTGGTGGACCATATATAGCTACAATCTCCCTCCTCCCCACCTCCCCCCCTCGCCCCGCCCCGGAAACCCGAAGAAAAGGCTACATCATACGACGCCCCACCTCACCGCCGCGAAATAGCCGTTAAGCAACAAAAAAATAACCTTATAAAAAATGCGGGGTTACCACCGGCACGATCATCGACGCGACATCCGGGGAACCCAAATGACATCCGGGGAACGTCAAACAGGGGCCAGACCAGCTGCTTCCTGCAGATCTCGGTATATTAGAACTCCGGGATGGGCTTTAACCCGGGACCTTAACCACTCCAAGGATCTCTGTTCGTTGTTCCGGGTTCGCGATTGGTGGCGGGGGTAGGGGATGGGGGGTGCAGGCAGGTAATATATGCTGCTTTTTAGGCTGGGGTTAATGATTGCTGGGCGCGAGTGATTTGTGGTGAGTTTGCACGTGATTGCGGGGTTCTTGGCGTGGGAGTGACTGGGGGTGGGAGTTGTAGGGATGTGGATGGGGAGTATCGTGCTTTGGAGTATGAGTGGGATGTGTACTCGGGCCACAAAGGAAACTGGGGTAATGTCTCTGTAGAAACATACGCGGATGCGTTGTTGGAGCCCAATCGACACGAAGCATGGGCCTAAGTCAACCTCTGAACTGTGCTTATGACAGCAGTGAGCTTGTCACCAATAGAGGGGCGGCAGGACAAGCGTGGGACAATTGAATACAAAAAGCGTTCCCGTGTTGGTTGGAGGAATAACGGGCAATGGGTCGGTGATATGTGAAGAAAATCACAGAGATATCTCACCCTGTAGTGGAGTAATCTTTCATCCTCCCCAATGACTTGATGGTTTAGGTGTGGCGCATGTTTTATCAAGTAGCGCGTAGACTGACTAAAGGGTTTAGTGGCGATCTTTCCGTAGTTTTGAAAACTCTGCTATTACCAAAGACTGTGATAAGTAATTGGTATTTACGATATTTGAGAATTTTGAGAATAAGCATTCATGAGATGCGCTAGTACTGTCGCTTAATACGAGACCCGGGAGTGCCCTAGAAGGATACGTACACTAAGACCGCCATATTGCATTTTGTGAGACAGATACTTTCTATCCCTCTCTATTTTGCGATGCATCTTTCGGCCCCGTGGTCTGTGCTTCTAGAAGCAACGTGCTTGGGATGGTACGAGCCGGACATTTCACTCGATGTCAGCCGGACGATGCGGGTCCTGCCGGGGCAAACTCTATTCTCGAATTCTGAGATACCGCTGCCTGCGATGCGACGATGTGCAGTTCTTCATGTCACTGATGTCAGCACGTTAATGGTTCTAAAGGGGAAAAGACCGGCTCCAGATGAGATATAGTCTCGTGTCACGTGTATCTCACCACTCGTCACTCGCCTCTAGGCAACTAGGCAACTAGCACTGCGTGGGGTAATTTTTTTTTCTTTTCGGGGCGGATTTTCTCTGTATGCCTTTTCAACCTCATCTATGTTTGGACCTTGGTGTTCCTTTATGTAACCTATAGTGTTGGTGGCGTTTACAAATGTGCACTTTTGTCCCCAGCCGCGTGATGGATTGATTTTCTGATTGGTAGAGGGCTCTTTTCCCCCCTCTTTTTGTTTTACCATATGTTGCACACGAGACCCTTCCCCTTCTCGATGCAGGGCATCCTAAAATACCTACGCCTTCTCGCTAAATACGGCACACAGCAATCCCGAGGAATTGGCCGTATCTAGAATCTCTTGTCCCCAAGACCGGGATAAGGCCTACGACCCGCTTCCTCGATTCAGACAGCGACTGTTCAAACTTCAAACTCAAGTGCATGTCTTCAATCATGGCTTTTCAGCTCCTTTTGGAGTAGATACCGCCAAAACTCGAAAAATTGGCTATCTCCGTCCAGGGATTACCACTTGAATGATTGGTTGAATGGCATCGATCTGCACCAGAAGTTTCCCGTACAAGTAATTTTGATCTAGCCAATTTTTCGAGTTATGGCGGTAGTTCCCTTCGTGACACAATGGCTCGCGTACGTATTACCAACATCAAAATCTACGGATACTACGTTACACACAGCCTTGTCTTAATCCCAATTTGTACGAGGACATAAGAGATGCCCCCTCCCATCTCTCCCCTGACGGGAAAAATATTAAGGTCATCATTGCTAGTGTTGCTGGTCTGTTGACCCGGAAATATATTGTGGCCCTGGAAGATCGATCTGCTAACCTTATTTTCATGGGTAGAACGTTTGATATTTACCGTTTGTGTACACTCTTTCCTGGTGCTTGCGTCGCTGTGTTTGGCTTTTTTTTTTTGAGTGGTAGGTTATCTTTCTGGGGAAGGTCAGAGGTATGGTCTAATAAGGCTGGGATAGTTATTGCGCGCGTGGGCTTCTTTATTTCGAGCGATTAAACTCAACGGAGGATACATGTAGGTGCGTCTATCAGAGGTCCCTCCTGATCCCAAGTATCCAAGGCGCTGACGTTGGACCTGACAGCCCCGGGCAAACGCTACCACCCCAAACAATAAACTTCGGAATCCATACTACTAGGCGAGGTTTCACCACAGCAGCGGGACGATACCGACGACATGGTCAATTGGAACCCATTTACCACCTGCGCGTTTGATCCCTCGCTGGCCCCCGGCGGCTTCACAAACCATGGCGCATTCTACCCAGAACCACAAGGTCGTGGTACTGTAGGCCTGGTGTGGAGTTGTGTGATCACTTTCGGCATTTGTGTCTGGACCACAGTACATCCGAATATCCTTCCGCTAGGCTCGACGTCAAAGACTCGGAGAGTGTATAAGTTGATATTGATGTTTTTGGCGGCGTTTGTTCCAGAGATTATCATGATGTGCTCCTATTCCGAGTGGCGCAAGGCGGGAAAGATCCACAGGAGTTGGTGCAAGAAGTTTAATATCAAGCCGGGCAGCAAACAGGATCGGATGGGAATGCAGGGAGCATTCTTTGTACTGATGGGGGGGTTTACCGTCTGGGAATTCGAGATAGATGAGGATGAGAGCTTAGGAGGAGTGGGAGGAGGTAGTGGTGGCCGCACTTATTACACATCCACCTTGACAGCCCGGGGGTTCAAGCACTTTGTCGAATCTGGGCAGATCGCCGAAGACGCATTCGACAAGAGGAACATCATTGATAAAGGCAAAGCCAGTAACCTTGCCAAGATGCTCGTGTTTGTCCAGACCACGTGGTTCGCCGTGCAGTGCATCGCGCGCAAGGTCTCCTGTCTGCCACTCACCCTGATAGAGCTTCATGTCGCCATCCAGGTCGCCTGCGCAGTCGTCTCATCCCTCTTCTGGTGGTACAAACCACTCGACGTCGACCAGCCCATCAAGATCACCGTCGACAGATACCAACAACTCGAATGGCCGTCACCCGAGGCCGAGAGCAGCAAGTTCTCCAAATACAAAGTCGTCACCGAGCGCACGCGATGCGGCTTCCTCCGCACGCTGTGCCGCGCCCTCTATGACCTCCTCTGCAACGGCAGCGGCCCCGGAAAGAACATGGTCGTGATGGGGCTCCTCATCCTCTTCAACGGCGCCTGTCACCTCTTTGCATGGAACAACTACTTCCCCAGCACCATCGAATGGTATCTCTGGATTGTCTCGGCTCTGGCCGTCTGTGGTGGGGCTCTGCTCTATGCGGTCGTCCTTGGCATGAGTTGCTACGAGAACCGCTTTATATGCGCGATATGGGAGCTGCGCTTCTACGGGAAGCGCAGGAGCCTCGAGGGCCATCTGTGGACACGCCTCACATGGGAGCGGGAGCAGATCTGCGGCGGCAAGATGGAGGACTCGCATGAGGCACTGGGCTATGAGAGTGCGGCGGATACGCTTCCGTCCCATAACTCCGTCCTGGATAATTACAGCATGCTGGAGAAGACCACAAACTCAAAGTGGAAGTATGTGATGGAGCGCATCCTGTTTGATCTCTCGTGGCTGCTGGCGGCGGGGTACTTTTTGTGTATTGGGTACTTGACGGTGGAGAGCTTTTTGAGCCTCAGGGACCTGCCGAAGGGGTCGTATTTGACGCCGGGGTGGATCGATTATTGGCCGCATTAGCCTGGTGGTTGTGGTGGTTGTGGTGGGGGGTGGGCTTGATGTTGCTTTTGGGTTGGACTCGTCGTTTAGAGTTAATTTTGTTTATGGAGTGGGCTGGGCTGGGCTGGGCTGGGCGCATGGGTTGTAGGTTAGTTTTCGGCAATGTCTTAAATTGGGTTTTGGATTGGGAATGCAATGTAGGTATATCTGGTCTTGTAATTCGGGTTGTTGAGACGTATGGTAGAGATTTATCTAGCATTTACATACATGTACTTAATGAGATTACTATGTAGTCAGAAAAATCTGGCGTCCCTGAACGCATTTCCTTGAGATTCACCCACACTTTGATTGTATTTACAACCACGATATGTTCGCGCTAACTCCTCTAAGCCAGTTCCAGGGTCACCGAGTGATGGGCTATGACCCCTTAGAGGCCACGACTCCGTATTTTCGGCCCGTCTACGAAACAAGTTGACGATCGATCCTCAATAGAGAAACGCTGCATCCTGAATTGTGTCCGACGTCACCCCGTGTAGTACCTAAGCCGAAAGTTTTAAACAGCATCACAGAATAGTCCCGACACCACCTCGGTAGAATCTAGATACATATCCGGTGTGAGAGGGTCACTAGCAACCTACTAAGACTACAGGTTACTTTCCTCTAGCTAGCCCGGCAAACATTCGTTCGCTATATACTGCATACATAAGCTTATTTTATCCGCCAGGAATTCAGGAAGTGTCGACCAACTAGAGCTACATATACTCTGCCTCGAGTAGGTACGATGCGTCAAGTCGCGGCGTTGGCCAGCGTGCCTGAGCGCTCGAAATGGCATAGTGTGATTGACGGTTGTCACGATATTACAACCCTAACCCTCAGTTTTGTACCTCAAATAGCTATGCTAGCGAGATTCAGGCATCTTTGGTAGTATAGTGGTTAGTATACTCGCTTGTCAAACACAACTCGCGAGTGACCGGGGTTCAATTCCCCGCCAGAGAGACATTTCATTTTTTCTACCTTTTACATACACACTGTGATCTGAGATGTGTACGAGCTCTAAGGGTCGAGAGAGGTTGGGGAATATTTTTTATTGTGACTGGTAGAGGGAGCCTGCGGGGTGGTCGGTGCAGTTGGCTGCTAAGCGAGGGCATCGCTGCGACAGCTAGGCAGAGGCGGTTGTGGTGTGGTTGGCCCTCGATGGCGAGGAGAACCCTAACCCTGCGGCTCTGTGAGAAGCAGGGTTTGAATGCTAGGGTGGGCGGAATTACTCACGCTTAGACTTCCACGCTTTGTTCGGAGGTTTTTCCAGTGTGTGGGTAATAGGTATAGGGATATCAGGGCTGCGAGGGGATTGCGGCCTTAATTATGGGGGCTTTGTATGATATGTATTATTTACAGTCTCTTTTAATTCGGACGTCACTAGTGGGATATATAATCAAGGCGCGGTGACAAAGTCCTATCTACAGGTACTATCTACACTCCAACCCCGCTCAAAGCTCCCCCCCATTACAACAAACTACCCCCCCACTACAACAAACTCCTCTCCGCCTTCAACCTCGGAAACAACGTCTCCGCCGCGCCCCTCTCCACACTCCTCCTCATCCCCTCCTCCCCAAACCCATACCCCTCAAACTCCGCCAAAAACCAATCCACGGCCCTCCTCGGCGCATACGGAAAATCACTACCCCACAGCACCCTCCCCGGCGCCGCAAACCGCTCCAGTACGCCCAGCGTCACCCCCCCGGCGCTCAGCGCAACATCGAAATAGAAGCTCCGCGCGCCCTGCATGAACTCCTCACGACTCAGCTCCGCCCCGGGGAACGGGAGGAAGCTGCCGGGCCGCGCGGCGAGGTAGGGGAGGGTGCCGCCGGCGTGCGAGAGGATGATCTTGACGTTTGGGTGGCGGCGGACGGTGCCCGAGAGGAGGAGGTCCATTGCGGACCGGGTGGTCTCGTGCGGGTAGTCGATGACGGGCTGGGGCATGAGCGGGGAGACGAGGGCGGTGTCGGCGGCGTGGGTGGGGTGGACGAAGACTACGGCGCTGCGGCGGTCGAGCTCGGCCCAGATGGGCGCGAGGGAGGGGTGGCCGAGGTAGGTGTTGCCGGGGCCGTAGCGGGTGAAGAGGGTGACGCCGTCGGCGTGCAGGGTGTCGAGTGAGTGGGTGATCTCCGCGAGGGCGTCCGCGGTGTGGAGGAGGGAGGGGAGCGAGGCGAAGAAGCCGAATGTGCTGGGGGCGCTGTCGCGGATGGTGGCGGCGTGGTGATTGCAGGTGCGGGCGAGGGCGGCGGAGGCGCGGGCGTCGGGGATGATGCAGGCGCCTGGGGCGGTGAGGGAGAGGATGGCGGTGGTGGTGCGCTGGGCGGTCATGAGTTCTTTGGTGGCGTCGAGGGACCAGGAGGGGAGTTTCCAGCCGGAGGGGTCACCGCCGCATGCTTCGAGGGCTAGAACATGAGTTAGCACTGGGTGATAAGGTGGGGAGATTATGGCGGTGTATACCCTCTGCATACGCCGGGGGAATGAAGTGGTGGTGGACATCGATCTTGCCGAGTGATTGTGGCATCGTGGGGGAAGTATCGGAGTATAATTGATGAATAGAGATCTAGAGGCCGGGCTGATATCGCAAGAATCAATAGTTTTGAAAACCACAGGAACCCATCGACACTTTATATATATTACACGGACGCCCTCCCGAGATATTGTCAATGCCGTCATTACCGAGTGCAGGCATCCTGACATCATATGTCCAGATTATTGATCCGGCCGAGTCGTGCCCGAGCAGGCCGATATTGACAGCTGCTGCTTGCGATGTCTGCTGCATGCTGGAAGGGCCCGCGCAACAGTTGTCTGCTCTCGTCAACCTCGGCTCTCGAGTGATAGCGTGTGATTAAGCAGTCACGTGACCGGTTCTCGGCTTCCTTGTGCACGGAGGTGTCGCTCCGTTGATGAGTGCCTGGTTTTGGCTGGGCCAGGGCTTTATGAAGCAATGCGAGGTTGATGAATGATTGCTTCTATCGTTGGTAATGAAGAGGGAGAGGATGGTGAAGAGGGAGAGGATGGTGAAGAGGGAGAGGATGGTGAAGAGGGAGAGGATGGTGAAGAGGGAGAGGATGGTGAAGAGGGAGAGGATGGTGAAGAGGGAGAGGATGGTGAAGAGGGAGAGGATGGTGAAGAGGGAGAGGATGGTGAAGAGGGAGAGGATGGTGAGGAGGGAGAGGATGGTGAAGAGGGAGAGGATGGTGAAGAGGGGGAGGGTGGTGAAGAGGGAGAGGATGGTGAAGAGGGAGAGGATGGTGAAGAGGAAGAGGATGTATACGGTGAAGAGGACGATGGTTGGTTGTCCCCCGCCTCCGTCCTAGACATGCTCGTGTCCTAATGACAGTTCGCTACATGCAGGTACATGTAATAACCCGATGCCTGTATGCGTATGCATGTGCATGCCACACCTGTCTCTTGCCCAGCCAGCTTGGTAGTAAAGAGAGCGTGGATAATAGGCTCTACCAAGCATAGATATGTGCTACAACCTATCGTGACATACCACTATCGTTTGGGATGGGCGGCCAAGAAACTCTAGTGGGGTATTCTATATCCTGTATGTGTATTCTGGGGCCCGTGCTACGCAAGTACTACCTATATATATATATACACCCACACTCATCTGCGACGTCATGCATCTCCTTGTATCATGTCGGTACATTTAAACACCATCGTCCGCATCTGCCACGCTGAAAACAACCAAAAACCACAAAAGGGTGTCAAAGTGCACTTGGAGAACATATGGCAGCAACTCAGGACTATCGCAGCACTCCAGAAACGCTTGCGGTATGAGAACGGCCTTCCCCACAGTGTCGATAGTAAGGGCACATCTCCAAATGGTGCGGAGGATAGTCTGTCGGAGGAAAGCACAGGGTACAAGTCCTTGAAAGAGCTACAGCAGACCTTGAATTGCGATATTCATAGATTCTGCTACTCCAAAACTAAACACCGGGTCGAGAAATATCTCAGCGGTATCCCCGCTTTCTGCAATTACTACAAGGACAACAGGCTAATGCTGGATGTTGGTGATGTTTTGACGATGGCTATTTACTGTCTAGATCAGATTTATCAGATCGTGATGGAGACCAAGGAACCCCTTGATTCCGCGGGCATCCCGTACCTGGACTGGGACGATCTGGTGCGATGGTTTAACCTGCTGATTCTTGAGTACACAAACAACATGACGAAACTAATGGCCCGGGCCCGCTACATCATGGCTGAATGGAGCAGTCTGCCTGGGGTCAAAAGCGAGTCTATTTCCCACTTCATGCTCTCTTTTTTTTTACCCGACCTTTTTGCTTATCCGACTTTTTGCTTACGACACTGCAGACAATCGTACCCTGAACCAGTTTGACCTAGCGAGAGCGCTACAAAAACTGGTAACGCTAAGCTCCCACATCCAGGACTTGACAAACCTCGCATATTCCCCGCGACTCCGATCAATACTCGAGAAGGAACTAGAGGTCGTCCTCGTAGACCCCATCATGGTCCCAGCTCCAGAGCCATCCCTCGACGACATGAAGCGCGCGGTCCAGCACGCTTTCGCCCTGACCGAGTACGCCAAGGACCTCCGCGCCCATGGAGAGGCGGGAGAGGCTGCACTGCAGGCCGCCCTCGACAGGCAACTGGACCTCGTCGAAGGTGCGCTGGGCAGCCCGGCACCATTCACCGGTGTGCACGCCGAGTGCACACTCCTGATGCACCACCACCGGGAATCCCAAGCGCAACCCCCTAACGCAGCATTCATGCCGCCATTGCAGTATATTGCTGCCTTTAAACGCTCGTGTTTCTGTTGCTGGGGCACCTACAAGGCGTACGCGAAAGTGACCAGCCGCATCTTCTTGCTGCGCGGAGATGCGCACTCGAAGTTGTGTTCTCCCTGGTGGGCTGCAACTGATCGTTTTGGAGATGACGGGGTGGCGGTGGCGGTGAGGAGGGGCTTGTATTCGGGGCTGGTACAGTTGTATTCGGAGTATCTGGAGCGGGGGGATCCGTACAATTGCTTGATAGCGTCGAACGGGTCCGGGAGAGATGGGAGGATGGCGGCAAATGATACTGACCGGGGCAATGCTGTAGGGGGGGTTGATGATGTGGCTGGTACGGCAGTAAACGCAGTGGGAATGGGAAGGTTGAGGGGTGTATCTTGTCTTGTGGCCTTTGCCGGCTGTAGGGTTGTGGATATCTTTGGCCTGATGCAAGTATTCGGAATGTTCAGACATTTAACTAGAGCATTGAGGTTGCGCATGGATCCGGAGTTATGAATTACTCGTGTGTGTATTCTATTCACTCTATTAGTAGCGTGTCCAGATGTACATACTCTATAGCAGTCCTAGTAGAAGAAAATTAACCATGATAATGCTTCCTGACCACAACGAGGAAGATTATACTATTGAGACATATTTATAATTTGCTGATAAAAGATTTGTCTGTCTTGTTGTAAAATTGGTGAATCGTATGCCATATCGTCACTATCCTGCGTTTTCATATTTTGATAAATATCATAAAATACCAACTTATATATAAAGTCTTTGGTAGTATAGTGGTTAGTATACACCTTCTTTCCCGCTATTGATTCGATTTTTTGAAACTCACCACCAAGATTTTCGTTGCAACCACGTTACACGAAGCCAAAAGTCTTTAATACTTAGGCTTCAACCACCCTCACAATGCCAAGCCCCCCCCAAGACCTGCTAAATGTCATGGATAGTCTACGCCTCGCTGAACTGGATGAGGATGTCCTCTGCATCACCAACTCCAGTATCCTCGGAACCCAAGCTGCCGAGTTGCTCGCCCACGAAAGCACCTCCCACCTCGAGAGACTTCTCTTAACCATCACCATCGGCATCGTCAACCAAAACGCGATCCTCATCCGTCAGTTGGAAGAGCTCACAGATGGGCACGAGAAAACTGCCTCCCAACTTTCCACCATCGGTAACAAAGTGGACAGGGCTCATGACCGTATCAGCGCCCTCTCTAGAGTTGCCCCACCTCCACCAACGCCACAAGTAACCACTACCCCCAGAAACCCCCCTGCCGCACAGCAGACCCAGCGAAACGCCCAGCCGCAACCCCGCCCCCAGCAGCAGCCCACCAACCCCCCTCAATCCGCTACCAGGCCAAACAGAGCCACTACCCAACAGACCCGCTCATATGTCCAAGTCGCTCAAGACACTCTCCACCAATGGCAACAAGCCCCCCAGAAACGCACCCCCGCCAAGAAGCCCAAAGCAAGAGAACCAGGGCCAAAGACCTTGCCCGCCGTCCAGCGTCGCTTCTTCGCGACCAGACAAACACCTGAACCCATCGAATCCCCAGAGACACTGGCCGCCGAACTATCCGTCACTTTCGGAAAGTTCATGGCCTCCCAAAACCAAGTCGCCCCGGTCACCGCACTCACCGTCACCATAAACCAGAGAGGAGCCGTCACTGTCCTCCCAGCCCCCACCGTCCCCTCATCAGTCTACGCCCCATTCTTCGAAGCAATGACCGCAATTCTAAACAATAGGGTCAACGCTGAACACAACCCCTTCAATACCTTCAGACCCGCCCCCACAGACGTGGACATAGCCATCCACGGAATCCCCCTATTCGACCTCAAGACAAAAGAGGACCTAAATGCCAAGTTCCCTGAGATCTTCCTCCTCGCCTCCGGCATCGCCCCGATCGCTACTCGCTTCCTCCACCCCAACGATTCCGAACGCAACAGTAGGAAAACGTCAACCGTCGTAATTACAGTCTCAGCATCTGACGCCGCTCTAATCGGCCCCTCAATCCGCATCCTCTCCAGACCCCGCAAATGCACTGTCATGTGGTCCGCCTCTCCTATCACACAATGCAAGAAGTGCTACAAATTCGGACACCCTGAACAAGGCTGCAAACAAGAACACCACACTTGCCCCATCTGCGCAAAGAACCACACCAAACAGGAACACACCTGCCCCGCCAACTGCAACGGCCGCCGCTATGATAACCTCGGATGCTGCGCAGCAGTACGTGCTAAATGCGTAAACTGCGATGGCGCCCACGCCTCAACGTCCAACAACTGCCCAGCTCTTACAGCCCTTATTGAGAACAATAAGCCCAAAAGACCAGCCGCACCAACCACCCCAGCCCCAGCCACCAACCAGTCAACCACCGAATCACCCGAAACACCCATGCCGGATGCCAACTCAGCTGCCCCATTCACCCAAACTGCTTAATCAATGAGCACCACGCCTAAAGAAAACCATTCACTACGCATCATACAACACAACTGCAACAACAGCAATAATGTTCTCATCTCCCTCTTCGCCATCCCTATGATACAAACAGCACATGCGATCGCCATTCAAGAAACCCCACTATTCAAAGGGAAACCTCTAGCGGTCCCCGCCTTCACAGCAATATACCCTACCCCCACCTCCACAGACGACAAAATCTCCGTCTGCACCTACATAAACAACAACTTCCTACAGAAAAACTCATTCGCAAGCCCCCCCTCCCATAGAGGAGACATCATATCCGTCAACCTGTTCTGCCACACTGGGCCCAACACACACACCACAATAACACTCACAAACTGCTATAACAGACAGCTCAGAGATGGGTCCCGATCAATCCACCCCCTCAACATCCTACCCACCTCAGACAACCCGACAATCACTGTCGGAGACTTAAACATCCACAACCCCGCAACCGACCCCGCCAGAAACTTCTCAGCCAGAGAACTTAGACTCTCCCAACCATACATGGACACCGCCAGTCGAGCAGGCTACTCCATCCTCAACACCCCCGGAACCTATACGAGAATTTCCCTCAATCAAGCACATAGAAACGGAGTCATCGATATAGCTTTCTCCAACCACAGAGCCACGCCGCTTGTCAGGAAATGGCTCCCCCTCTCCAACTCCTCAGGCTCCGACCACAGGATTATAGCTATCTCACTTGCCCTTCCAAACTCAGACTTCGCCCCCTTTACCACCCCAAACTGGGCGCTAACCAACTGGAACCTCCTCTCACCCGCTCTCCAAAACACCCACATCCCCTCCTGCGACACCCCCTCGATGCTGGATGACTGGTTCGATAAATCACTTACCCTCATCACAGACATGGTCAAACAACATACACCCCCAAAAACCATCTCAAAATGGTCAAAGAAATGGTGGACCCCGGACCTCTCCCAGCTCCGAACCATTTTTCACTCAATACACAGAGCATTCAGAAAAGGCAGAGCCCCCCCCTCGGAGATGAAGGCAGCGCGCAACGCCTATTTCAATGCCATAAAGAAAGCAAAACAAGATCACTGGAACGCCTTCATCGCCAACGCCGATACAAAGGATGTGTGGAGACTGAAGAAAATGGCCAACAGGACGGAAGATAAGATTCCCACCCTCCCAAACTCACCCACCCCAACCCTCCTCAACAATAACCTCATCAACGCCTTCTTTCCCCCTCGACCAGAAGGCCCCTCCCCCTCCCCCATCCACTTCCCGAACACCCCCCTCATCACGCCCAATGAAGTTCAAACCGCACTGGGCCCCACCTCCAACCTCTCTGCACCCGGCCCAGACACCATCCCATATTCAGTATGGAAAGGTATCCACAGAGCCAACCCCCGCATAATTCCCGCCCTCCTCAACCCGCTCATCCAACATGGATACCACCCACTCTCCCTAAAAACCGCCAATGGAGTAATCCTCGCTAAACCAAACAAACCGGACTACTCCTCCCCTGCCGCATACCGCATAATCGTCCTCCTCCAGACCTTCTCCAAGATCCTGGAAAAAATAATAACACTCCGCCTGGCCGTAATAGCGAAAGCCGTAGGACTCCTCCACAACCACCAATGCGGGTCAGTCAGCGGCTTGTCCACTGGAGACGCAGTCACCACACTCATACACGAGACCAGAGCCATGCAGCTGGCTAAGCTCAAAGTCTCCACTCTCTTCCTAGACATCAAAGGAGGCTTTGACCATGTCCTCAAACAACACCTAGCCTCCACCCTATCAGCAAAACATACACCCCCCTACATCACGAACTGGGTCCTCTCCTTCCTATCTGATCGCTATATTACGCTGTTGTTTAAAGGATCCCCCAAAATCCCCACAGCCGTCCAAGTCGGAGTCCCACAAGGATCCCCAATATCACCACTTCTTTTCCTTATCTATATTAACTTCCTCCACCAACATGACCCCGCCCCCGGCATCTCACTCTCCTATGTAGATGACCTGGCCATTACAGTGGCCTCCCCATCATACGGGAAAAACATCGACATACTCCAGGCCCACTATAATAAACTTACAGCTCTGGCCTCCCCTAAGAACGTTACATTCTCGGTGGGGAAGACGGAGCTAATGCACTGGAGAACCCCACGCGACAAGTCCCCCACCTCACACCTCCCAATACTCCTGGACGGCCAAGCCTTCCAGCCCAGCCCCATAGTACGATGGGTCGGATATTGGCTCTCCCCCAACTTTAACCCCAACGCCCACTTCATCAGAAGAACGGCGGCCGCAAGAGCAGCCTTTGGCATTCTCAACCGCTTCTCCTCAGCAGGAAAAGGCCTATCACCCGCAAATTGCAGGAAAGTAGCCCTCCTCGCCATCCGTCCCATGCTCACTTACGGAGCCAATGTATTTACCCCAACGTCAGCGCTCCGAGAAATGAATACCTTCTGGAATGCAGTCCTTAGATGGACAACAGGCTGCTTCAGAGCCACTAATAACCGTGTCCTATCGGCGGAAGCAAAAGCCCCCCCCCTAATACTATACCTTCACTTCCTAAAGTGCAAATTCGCCATTAGGATCCTCCGAGCTTCCCCACTAGCAAACCCAGTAACGGGAAGGACAGACCCCCACTTCCCCACCACCCTTCGAGACCGAACCTTCTCACACACCGCCCTCCTCAGAGGCCGACCCAACCCGCCAAAGAAATGGAACTCCAGAGCGAAGAAAGGCGTAGCACATACACCTATTGAGCACCTCTGCTCCCTGCTCCTCCCCCTAATCGAGGAAGGGGTAGATCAAGGCAAGATGGCCCATAGAGCCAAGCAACAACTGCTGGATAACTGGTGTACCCATTTCCCAACCCCGACCTACTATACATATAGATTAGATACATCCCCCCTACCCTTCACACACCTTCACAAGTTCATCGCCACAAGAATCCACCAAATAAGATCAGGGAAAAGCTACCTACGAGCACAGCAATCCTGGATCAACCTACACACCTCGCCCAAATGCCGGAAATGTGGCCTCGAAGACGAGACCCCCGACCATGCCATACTACAATGCAACGCCTCTGCACTCACCCGCTCCCAAACCTTAGAAGGAGTTACATCCCTTGAGGAAATCTGGGACAACCACACCCTTACCCTCCAGCTAGGGGCCTACATCACTAAAACCAGAACAGGCTACCCGGTCAGCCGGGGACCCTCACCACTCGAATCAGGCTCAGGAACTTCATCCCCCCTCAGCTCAGTCTCATCCTCCTCTACGTCTTCAGCAGTTTTCATGGGCCCAATACCCACAGTCTACGCGTCCTAGTAAAGTCTCACTGAGAGCATAAGGCCAATGGCCAGAAGGATTTCACAGGGAAAGGCAACTAGCCCTCCCTCTAAATTGTTCATTGTTATTTATATGCGTTTATCTTTCTTTTGTTATATTTTATTTTTTTTTTGGAATTTTGTTTTTGTTTTATACTAGGGGGCGAGTTATAAGTTTGGAAAGGGGATAGGTTTCTTTACGCCATAGTTTATACTTTACGCGATCATTGTGTACCTAGAAACAGAAATTGAAATGATTTAAAAAAAAAAAAAAAAAATAGTGGTTAGTATACTCGCTTGTCAACCAACTCGCGAGTGACCGGGGTTCAATTCCCCGCCAGAGAGTTCTTCACAACCTTTTTCTTTTTTTCCGGGGTCAGATAGAAACCGGGGTTTGGGCTTTTGACGATCTTGTTACATAAGCATACAACAGCGCTAGATCTGCCAAGCCTCGACTCCGACTCCAACTCCGAAGAATGAGACCAATTGCAACTGAATGTTTGAATTTCTATTTTCAAGTGGATTATGGAGTTCAGTTTTCAATTTTACGTTTGCGCCCCTCTATGGATGTTTCTTTACCAGTTAGCCCAAGTTCGTGGCCTCAGCATAGAATCATGTACGTAACCGGAATTACTGAAATTATCTAGCAAAGTTGATCAATTATTTGACGTTGGAATATGTCAGTTATGAGCGTAGTATTCGTATAGAGTCATTTCCAGAATGCAGAAACATTGAATAGGCCGAAGCCGAGACCTTACAGTTCCAATCAAGCTGTTACTCACCGTTTTAAACCGCGCAGCTCTGCACTTAATTCCCAGGTGACGTCTGCCTGAATGATTCCTGATGTTGCATACATGTATGTTCCCCACGTAACAATATTCTACCTCCACCTAGCTTTACAATTCAACCACCCCTCTAGCTCTGCACCCGCCACAACGCATCCCTCAGCACCTCCACCCTCTCCAGCAGCGCCTCTTCCGCCCCTCCCAAAACTGCCGCGTTCGCCTGCACTAGACCCCCGAGGCCTGCCGTGCCCAGGTGGCGAAATCGCGGCTTGCGTTGAATTGGGTGTTGTTCAGAGTGATGCGGTAGGCATATTCGTCTATTCCCCGCTGCGTGGAGAGGTGTGTGGTGAGCCGGTTGTTTGCGTCTATCTGTGCTTGGAGTCGGTGGATGCGGTACCGGAGGTAGGCGTAGTAGGGGAGGTTGCGGATTCGTGCCATTGGGGGAGGTTTGCTAGTTATCAGAGGTGTGCCCCGCTCCCCGGGGGGGGGGGTGTTTTATGCGTAGATACATGATGTACGCACTTGGCGGTGGAACCTTTAGAGGACCTGATTTCAAGGGAGAGTGTCCGGCGTATGAAAGGGTACTGCCTAAGTACTGGGGCTAGAGGTAGCTTTTTGAAATCATTTTGAAGATTAGGATGAACAGTATTCAAGTGCGCTGGTTCTTAATTAATGAATTATCAATCAACCAATCGTGAGCTGGTTCTTGGGTCATGCGCAATTTTGGTATTCCCGTAGATGTTGCTACTGGTACGCAGACCGATCTGGGAGCCAGGGTATTTGCTGATTTCGCTCTGCGCAAGAAACCGGGGATTCTGAGTCCATCTTTTATTCTAGAAAGATGATTCTCTCCTGTATTCGATGGCATTGTGGAGTTTTCGATACTGTAGAAGACACGATGATATGATATAGATGCGCGAGGCGGTTGATTCTCTCGAAGCGGGTTCTAGGTAGTATTTACGTATGAGCTGCCGTAGGCCAGTCATTAGTTCAAATGACTACATGAGAACGACTGAGTGGACGACTTCCCATAAGCAATAGAGCGCGTTCTATCGCCCAATAGACCTGATTTTGTCTTTCTATCAAATAGAACCCGAGTGTCTAAAAGTTGTGATAGAGCACCATCTTTGAAGGGGGGAGGGGGGGAGGTCTATGGGATAGAACATTTCCTATCTGCTTAGATAGAACTTTGAGTACTTTCACCTTCCTTCTTCAGTTGAATAGGGGACTAACTAGGAAAAGTTCACTGTTACTATACCTTATCTGCCTTAGTAAATGAATAGAACAAGTCCGGCGAATAGAAAATCTCACTCGCTTATAGGAACCCGATCTATCTAAGAACCACCCGCTATTGCAACAGAACACGCTCTATTGCTTATGGGAAGTCGTCCAATCATGAGAACTCTTTACCGCCGCATACAGCCCTTTATGCTGTAAACTGCCCGATGCTGCGCCCGATTCTAAGTATTATTACTCGGTGAAGATTTCGGGTCCCTCAGACCTCGCGTTCTCGGGATAATGGTGTTTCTTACCTTTCTTTTATTTAGAGGGATAATATTAGAGTACGGTATAGGGTTCGTTCGTCGCTTGCCCAGGCATTTGACGAACAATTTAGTTTTGTTTGTCGATTGCCGGTGTTCGTGAGATGCCTACAACACGTATGAGCCGCCGTACAAGGCGATGTTGAAGTTACGTTCCCATACTGAATTTGGTTGTAACGCAGTGTCCGGTTAATTTTAGCAACTCTAATACGTGTGAGAGCCGAGCTGATGATCCTCTCAGCCGCATTTTGTAACCTGCTCTGTCAGTTGTCAGCTTAGATTTGATGCGCATTAGAAATCACCTAAAATGGAGATATAGATCTGTCGACTAACTCAGGGTGAGAAATCTGTAACCTTGATGGAGCTTGTCTGATATTGGGATGTAGCTACATGTAGATCTATCCTAACCGGCGCTATCAACAGGACATATATATACATCTTGACTCATGAAGCTTTAAGCATTACATGCATCATGCAGATTACCGATACGTAAAAAGCCTATTTCAAGCTCTGTAGACAAATTAAAAAATGCTCGTTTAACCAAGAAATCTCCCGTATCGAGATACTTTACCGCCCAGATGGGTATTGTTTTAAGACTTATTTTAGGCTTATATAAGCATGATATTTGTCTTTTTTGACGATTTTCTCTTATTTCTTTTTAAGGTCCTTATTAGGCTATGGTTTTGATAATCTTAAAATAATTTAAGGCTTAACGGGCTTGATCAGTCTTATCTAAGGTATTTTTGAAAAATAAGGCTGAATAATGTTTATTTGTGAGATCAGTATGATAGCCTGATAGGTATACTTTTACACTTATTCGCCATAGTGAATTTCGGATATGAAGTTTTTATTAATACTGAATTTAATATGTACATTGATTTAAGACAATTATTTCTCTCCCCGCCTACACACCTCCCTACCTGCCTACCCGCGTACCTGCCTATCGACCTAATTTGCTCAATTGGGTGCTCGATTTGGTGCTCTATTTGATGCTTGATTTGATGCTCTATTTGATGCTTGATTTGGTGCTCAATTTGATGCTCGATTTGGTGCTTGATTTAATGCTCTATTTGATGCTTGATTTGGTGCTCTATTTGATGCTCGATTTGGTGCTCTATTTGGTGCTCGATTTAGTGCTAGGTTCGGTGCTTGGTTCGGTGCTGCTGCTGCTGCTAGATTCGCTGATTAGCCTATGTTTTTGATGATTAGGAGATTGGGGGGGGGGGGGGAGTGTGGTGCTAGGAGAGTAGAGGGGACGGAGGTGATAGAGGGGACGGAGGTGATAGAGGGGACGGAGGTGATAGAGGGGACGGAGGTGATAGAGAGGTAGAGGGGCCGAGGGTACGTATTAAAGAACAGATGGAAGAACACGGTTTAATATTTGCTAAGTGCCCAACCCTAACCCAGCTAAACCTGACGAATTTCCATAATGCTTATTTATTTGGTAATCCTAATACTAGTAAAGGTCTTAAAAGAGCCTTATTTGGTGGTAATATTAAGCAAATATCATGCTTTTGCCCAAAACACGCTTATTTCTTGCTTTTTTGAGATATATGGCTTATTTAAGGCTTTTCTACGTCTTAGAGCTCGAAATAAGGCTTATAATTTATAGGGTAAAGGCGCTAATGTAACTACTTGTATACTAACCACTGATATGAGGCCAATATCCGTCCCATACAGGTGTTTGATAAAACATCGCAGAAAGCTGACGCAAGTGTAAAAAACTCTCCACAGTTATGAAAATACTCAACAGAACATAAAGAAAAACCAAAAACCATGATATATAAATATTCATCCACTTCCATAAAGACGTATTTACCCTACTCTCTTTAATGAGTCTAGCCCACATATGGCCCAAAAGATCATGATCATAGAAGCGGGTTTCCCACAGAGCACGCAGATACTGTTTTTCCCAGTCCGTCAAAAGAAAAATAGCAGTAAGAAACAGAGATCCGAGACAGATACCCATGCAGGATATAATCCAAAGTAGCCATTCCAGATTGGTAGGGAATGAGACATTCCATGCAGCGAGATGAAAGCCTCCACCAGAAATGAGGAATATTCCCACGACAAGCTTGTCCAAAATATTCCTAGGTATGGATGTATCAGGATTGTTCGAAGAGGTGCTGATCCGCGAAGTGGTATTGGTACTCATTGAGCGAGTTAAGGTGTCTTTGCAATTGAGGAAGGTATATGTCGGATCACGGGTAGGTGGGGTTGCACGATAAATATCGATGCATGCGGACTCGTTCGAATGACTTGCGACGTCGCCCATCCTTATTTCGTTCTCCGCTACTGTCTCAGGTGTAAGGCTCTTCTTAGTCAAGCGCCCGACCGTCCAACCCTGGTGACAGTTCTTCAAAATGGTACTCGAAATTGCCAACTTTGCTTGAGTGTCATTTCCAAAGAGAAATTCCGATATATCGTAGATGACCCTTAACATCAAAACCAGCAGGTCTGACCGTGACTTTTCGGTAATTTCGTATCCACTCTGAGAGTAGTACACATTTTCCCTTCTTACAAGCTCAGGTTGTTTAAGCTGCTGTCGTTGTTCGGCTGACAAGGGTCTAGGAACCATTCCGGTCTTCAAACCAATCTCCATGGGCTCGTTGACATCCAAAGGTTTATGCCACCAGAAGAAATATGAAACAGCCGCGCAGAGAACTTGGTTGGTGACATGAATCTCCAGCAGGGTGATTGGCAACCCAGCAACGACACGTGTGGTGCACTGAAATATCAACCAACCCGCCTGGACCAGCGTAATAAGCTTTGCAACGCTACTGGCCTTGCCTTTATCGTTGATGAATCTTCTGTCAAAGGAAGACTGGTCGATCATGCCGGCCTGCACGTAAGTGACAAAGCCATATGGCGTCAGTACCGGTATGTATCCGTCTTCCTCTCCCTCTTCCTTTGGCAATGTAAATCCACCCATCAGGAGGAAGAATCCGCCCTCAATACCCATGTGGTCATATTGATTTTTAACATTAATTTCGAACCTCTCAAGCCAGAATTTGTGAAGCCTCTTTGCTTCACGCCATTGACCAAATGCACAGAGCATTATTCCATGCGGGAATAGCATTGCAAATGACATCCACAGAAGCTTATATTTGAGGCGACCAATGGAGGTGGAACCGGGAGGAAGGATATTCGGGTGAACTGAAGTCCAGGTACAGAGAGCAAAAGTGAAGACGCAGCTCCAGAGAATGGTGATTGTACCCCGACCTGGTGGGTCCTTCTCATAACTGATATCGAAGCCGATATCTTGCAATGGTGCGGCAAAACATAGGGCGAAAAGGATCGATGAGATGACGGCGAGAGAAAGATCAACTGAGATCATTATTGCGGTACTTTGGTCCCTAGAAACATAATAGGTTAGTTTTCAGGTCGCTGAAATTATGAAAAAATGAAAACTCACGTATATCAAAAGCTAGTAATCTTAAGATTATATTTCCGCTGGGGGTAGATGTACCACGCTGTACAGGGTATATGGGTTAGTGAAAATTATATATAGGTCATAAAAAGTCTCAAAGATAAGATAGTAAGTCCGGTCTTTGCGATATGGGAGTCCTGTATTGACTTACCTATGAAACAGGTCAAATACGAGATGTCTTGTACGATCCAAAGTCTAGAATCTATCGATCTCGCGGTGTGCAAGATCGAGTAAAAGTAATAGCAAGCTGCATTAATATACTAGAAGCAGTGATGGTGCCACCCCTCCCCACTCGCCTGCTTGGTTATACCCTACTTTATGCGGAAATCTCAGCGATAACTGACTTTGAGAAGATGAGTCCTAAATCCTGACAAAACTAAGGGATTCGAACTTAATTTCGCCGCACGAAGACTAGATTTATTGACTCGTGACATGAAAAGCATCTGTTTTTTTCTATTTCTCAAAAACTTGACTCCACTGTAATAAAAGTTTGTTCGAAAAAATAGGATCCTAGTAACTCTAATAATTTAGAGACAGGACAACCATTATGTATATGATGTTCCCAGGCGATTGATGGGCTAGGCATGGTGATCGGCGCCCGGTGGAGCCATCAGCCGGTAATAATATTCAATCGATCTCCTAATGAGAGGAGAAATCCGCTTGAATGTTCCCAGACTTTTAAAACACTATATTCACTTTGCCTATATATTCTCTGGGTATAGAAATAATTGAGAATTTGGGGCTATAGTGGCTTTGGCAAATAAGGCTACCGTTTTGGAGGCACAAAGAAAGGTGTTAGTGATAGCCCTCTTACTGATATCAGAGGGACACATAACCTGTCGTTAGACAACAGGATTAGAATTAAACCACGCCCTCAGTTCCAAAATCACAAAATTATGATACTCTGTTTGTCAACGCCTATATCATAGATTTGTCAATTAGGAAACAGATTTTTTCCGGAAAGGAGCAGAGCAAAGTCTAGGGGCAATCCTTAGGGATCTAATCGAAACCTTTAGACTTTGAGGTATTCAACATAAATCAGATCAACTCTACCCAAATTCAATACCACTTTATGAAGGAACGAAACGGACGTTAGAGCTATATGTACCCAGGGTGTCGGAAAATGATGCATATTTGGTGGTATCTCAACCATGAGAGAATTAATCTTCACACAAGTCTATCTTGAGGTGAATTTAGATATTCATAGTTTCATTGGGCTGACTGTGTGCAGCCGAAAACACAGAAGATCTTCAACGGGCCGATCCGTGCGAGGCACCAAGAAAGCTTCTCCACAGAGCGTGCACTACATCGCACGTGGCGGGCGCCCCACTTCTAGATCTTGCATGCACGAAAATGCATGTTACCGAAGTACCTCCAACGCGGTGTATATTAAAAACCTGGTCTAATTTATATGCTCGCCACCGCACGCTGGAATACAAAGCTGTTAACAATCACCTGACGATCCTAATCCTTTTCTCTTTGGAGGACGGCCGAGAACCCGCAAAGTTTGATTACGACCCTGTGCACCGCTTGTGCAACCTTTGGTCATGTCATCGGACGAAAGTTAGAATTGTTGTGCGACCCCCGCTTGCGCTCTATCGCTCATACAGCTGATCTAAGGGTAATGTGTACTTAGATATCCACGAGTCTGACTGATTATGGTCCCAAAGGCTATCCATCGATTTATTGTTCGTTACATACACACGCCTCTTAATTCGGGCAAAGAGGTTTCCTTGCGGTAAGAGATCAACAAAGGGTGATCGGCCCGGAACTATGTAATAATCGAGGTTTAAATACTGGCTGGGCGGGAGACTCCTAGCCTGTGGCGTTCATGGAAAGCGACTAACAGATAAAACTTATTGCTATATGGGTCTATCACCAAACAGGATCACGATATAAAGATGTTAAAATCACGAACTCTTTGCTGAAACAATGTTCTCTGGAGGAAAGCAAATCCTTGCGCCCAAGCAGGCGGGACCTATCACACGCGCTGGATTTAAGACATCAGGTATGTAGTAACCTTTAGTTTATGGCAGACCAGAACAGTTACTAACAGAAAGTCTTGGTGTGTGCGTGTCTAGGACTGAGTTTTGTTCAACTGACTTGAGATCAGGCCATTTTATTCTTTATCTATTTTTATTTATTTTTATTTTATTTTTATTTTATTTTTCCCTGCGCTAAATTCTCAACTTGTTATTCGCATATCCCGACAACTGGTTTAACCATCGAGTCGAGCGCACTTTCAATCCATAAGGACATGAGAGAAAGAGAAAGGTAAAGCATAGCTACCACAAGACGAATCATGCCACTGACTCATACCCCAGCTTTATTACAACCACGCGTCTTGCACCCACGAGGACAGGGGTGACTCTTTACAAGTTAATCATCGTGGTTCTGCGAAATAAACTTTTGAAACAAACACACATCACCGTCTGCCGTTGAAATCTACACTTCCGATCGCCCATGGAGCCGGGAGGTGCAATCGATCTCATGCGACGCAGGCATATGATATAAAGTGGATGCCGATCAGTGTGTGTGCGTGGGTCATGTGGCGTCACTCGGGATCTGGTTCATGACTTATCACTCGGTATCCTGGTTGATCTGTGCTGGGGTTGGAGGCTCTGTGGTCGTAGATAGGACACCGCCGATACGTTGCAACTAAAGCAGCAAGGTCAGAAATACAAACAATGTACGTACACACAGACAAACCGCCGCCGCTCGGCAAAGCTTGAGCATGCTAAAACACCTCAGCTACCAGCAACACTCTCCCGCAGAAGAAAACCGCCAGGAGCAACAGTCCCGAACCCCGCACCCCACCCCGCAGGCAAATGCGACGCTGCTTAACCTTCGCACAACTGTCCACATGACTAGGGCAGCAGACCAGCTTACGACAGCTCCCTCCACAAATACTTACTCACCGGCTAGGAGCTACGGCAGACGAATAGAGACAGTTGCACAACCGTGCTCTTCGCTCCCCCCGGCGCCCGGTCTATGCTGAGCCCATGCGTGCAGGTCAACCGCCCGACATACCACCGGACCGGAGGTAGCAGTTTGTGAGATCCGGTTATCTTCACGCTTCAATCAAGCCCCGAAAGTTCTTGGCAGCACCGGCCGCTGCCTCACAAAATCCCTCAACGCGCGGTAACTCACCTAGACCCCGGAGTACCGAGTCGACTATGTATCCCGAAGTATGGAAACTCTCTTCTATTTGCCTCCCTACCGGTCTAGCTGGACATATGCTGGACGCCCACCCCCGGGGAAACATGGCGTTCGTTCTGCGCCGACAGACAGAAGATAGTAGCTATAAAGGCATGTTTATTAGGTGCTCCGGGGGGGTGGAGACCTATGGAGCTGTACCTACATAAAACACGGCCGACCGACCACCGCAAGATGCGACAGCAAGGGAGAATCTAAGAACCTAAACCGGCGCAGGTGCGTGTCTATCAGGGTAGCTACACTATGGATACATACACCCGCCGATCAGGGGCTGATAAATCCCGCAATCACGTATCCGCAGTTGACCATCTACGATTTCACCGCGCACCAGCCCGCAAGCGCACATCTACCCCCACCCTGGAATGTGGATCACACAGCATCACTCGGTCTTGGCAATGTCTCTCCGATCATTGACACTGCCGGGATCATCGGCCTGCGTGATACTAGCAACAATAACCCGATTTTCCTACCTGTACATGCTCAATGTGGACCACAGTTTTGTGTTTTGTGGTTGGGATCGATTCTAGCTGGAGGATATTATCCGTGGGCTCTAGTTACGGTGGCATCTTTGCCCGGCGGTCGGAGTGGGGCAGGTTGTTGTCGATTAAGAGGTCCTCGGAAAATATCAAGGCGAGGCTTTGAAAAGGAGGGAGTGCGTCACTATGTCTACTGTCTTCTCCGGTCTGTGGGGAGGGATACATGTGAATATATTGGAGAATGAGCGGCCTTAACCAAAGTGAGAAAAACGAATAGAACAGCAACAAAGGACAAAGAACAAAGCGTGAGAAATATAAAGAAAGAAAACCCCAACACGAGCTGCAAAGCTGCGTCTGTTTTGCAAAACCGAATAACAAAAATGAAATGATAATGAAGATGAAGGAAAGAAAGAGAGAGAAAGGGAACAAAAAGAGAAAGGAAGTGAAGAGAGAGAGTAAAAGAAACCCACACGCATACCCGCTGACTATACTGAGATTCTGTATATATCCAAAGATACTAGATATATATCTCCAACAATTACCAGCGAAAACAGTTGCAAAAAGAAAAAAAAGACAACACGGAATAAATGAAAGATTCGCGGAGAGCTGAAACGAGTGACACAAAGAACACCGGAAACGTCGTATCTTAGGGAGGGAAAATATCTCCTCGGCAATCTGTTCGGGGGAGCATCGAGGCTATCGGCCGTCATTACTGGGATCAGCGCTATTTTCGACGGGTGTTGCATTCCGGGATGTGGTCGGCTCAACCACATTGTCGAGAGTCCTCGGGAATCTCAGTAATCTGGCTATGGAGTTTTGCTCCGTTGGTGAGTAGGAATTTCTCAACCGACTGCTTGTGATTCGCGATTGAGGCTTGTAACGCACTGCCATACTTGCCGCCTTGGGCATTGACATCGGCCCCGTTCTCGACCAGGAACCTCACAATCTCCAGTTTAACATTAGATGCCGAGCATGCACTTTGTAAGGCATTACCTAGGCTCGTCCCCAACCCCTCTACTTCCATGCTTCCAGAGGACAGGCTGGTGCTATATCTCCCCGACTTGGGTGAGTTCTTTTTGTATGGAGTGTCGGCTGTCGGGGTGGCTGTCGAGGTGGCTGTCGGGCTCATTTACATACAAAAAATAAACTCTTTTTAGCTTCCGACATCAAAATTAAGGTTTATTCTGACCCCGATATCACATTTCGGGCTTTTATATCACAAGTCGGCCTTCCATGTCATATTGTCGGCTCTCATATCACATTGTCGGCCTTTATATCACAAATCGGGCGCCTACATCACAATTCAGAGCCCGATATCACATTTCAGAGGCCGACAAGAGTGTAGGCCGACATTTGTCGGGAAGATATAGCACCAGACTGTACTGTGGCAGCTTGCTGCAAGTAACGGGCTGGGTACGAGACTAGGCATTACCATACATGCCACCCTGGGCGTTGACATCGGCTCCATTTTCGATCAGAAACTTCATATGTTTCAGTTGACTGTGGTTCGCTGCGGCTTGTAATGCGTTTCCATACTTGCCACCCTGGGCATTGACATCGGCCCCGTTCTCGACCAGAAGCTTCACACTCTCCAGGAAAACGTTGCACGCTGCGGCTTGTAAGGCACTCCCATACCCACCACCCTGGGCATTGACATCGGCTCCATTCTCGATCAGGAACCTCACAACCCCCGGTTTAACAAAGAATGCCGAGCATGCGGCTTGTAAGGCACTTCCATACTTGCCACCCTGGGCATTGACATCGGCTCCATTCTCGACCAGGAACCTCACAACCTCCGGTTTATCATCGAATGCCGAGCATGCAGCTTGTAAGGCATTACCATACTTGCCACCCTGGGCATTGATATCGGCTCCATTCTCGACTAGAAACTTCACCACCTCCGGTAGAGCATAACGTACCGAGCATGCAGCTTGTAAGGCATTACTATACTTGCCACTCTGGGCATTGACATCTGTGCCATTCTCGATCAGAACCTTCATTATCTCCAGTTGGTCGTGGTGCACTACGGCTTGAATGTTAATATCATACTCGGTCAGAGCCTCCGGTTGGCCGAAGCCCGGTGCGTCTTGTACGGCATTACCATACTCGAGAATCTGGGCATCGATATCTACTGCCTTCTTGTCCAGAAGCCTCTTTATCTCTAGTTGGCCGTGGTGCACTGCGGCTTGTAAGGCATTGCCATACGTGCCATTATCTAGTTGAGTATTGACATCGGCTCCGCTTTTGATACAAAATTTGACCTCATCCCCGTACCCGTAAATTATTGCAGCGAAGAGAAAATTGTTGCGAACGTTTTGGGGATCTTTGAAAAGATCACCTGAAAGGATTTCTCTAGAAAGCTGAAAATATTTCCGGTCGTAGAGCATGCGAAATGGAAACTCTACAATTTCCGTACTCTGCCGCAAGAACCGAGACATATAAATCGAAATTGCCTCCAATTTTAACTTAGAACCCCAGAGAAGATTTCGTACAGCTTTGACGAGGCCGCTATCCCGTTCGTTACCAGCTTTTAAGTGGAATTCCCAACACTCGAATGAGTAGACTAATAGAGGCGTGTTGCGTGTTGACCGGGGTAGACTATAAGGCATGGATCTGCGGCAATCGTCTGTCTGATCCGGGGAATCCAGAATTCCGGGGAAGGATAGAAAGGATACGCAAGTTTCGGCCAAACGTGTATGACCGATGGATTTGTGGACACGGAACGGAGTATCTGTGCGCAGGAAAAATTCTTTGACTGACTGATGAATGACTTGAACAGTTCCTGAGCGTACTTCCAACAATCCTCCAGAATATCTCAGGATTCGGTCCCCTGTATCCGAAAGGCTTTGTATATCCTCAGAATTCTCGATATTTTCAATCGAAGAAGCCTTATGTATGCCGATTGCTAGTGTATATCGTAAATCCTTAACTGTCAACCGCCGTTTTGCCAGAATAACCCAACGAAACATCTCTGCTGCCTCCTCGCGTTGATTGTCCGATAGCCCCACACCTTTCAACTTCTGCGTATAGAGATCTGTGAGTTCCGTAAGCGAGGCTCCAAAGACCGTTTCATCCAACATATCAATCACCAGCTTAGGCCAGAGATAATTACCATCTGAACGATAGATAAGCTCGTCTTTCAAGTACTCATGGTGTGATGTCTTAAGAAGCCTAGCCCGACTATTGATATAGGATTCCACGTCTTCGTGATTGAGGTTTTGGAGGATTATATGCCGAATGTTCGACCCCTCCAGAGTTTCAATTATCTTCGTTAGCCAGAGTTCTGGACGGCTAGTAACAAACAGCTTCAACCTCCCATCTGCACAGGCCTTTGTAAGTTACATCAAATGCGTTTTTATGCTTTGTTTAGATCCTTTTTCACATTCGTCCATTGCATCAATAAACATGTAAATGGTCCTAGCGGAGGGATCGGCAAGCAAAGACCTTAAAATCTTGGACATTGAAGAGAGTGGCCATTCTATCTTCCCACCATCACTAAGTCTCTCCTTAAGCCTTCTGTACTCGGGAAGAATATGTTTGAAAAGTGGAGGGTTTTCAGAGAGTATTTGGTGGATAATTGTTTGAAGAAAGCCTCGTGAAGGCTTTTTCGAGAATTCCTCCTCGATTGTGGAAGAAGAAACTGGCGATCTTTGGATTGAGAGTGGATCTATTACTTTTGTACTGGATGAATCCATCGAGGATGTACTTCATGAAGGTCGATTTGCCACTTCCGGGTTTACCGATTACCCAGAATACCCCAGAGCTCGCTGCATCCCACTCGAGGAACTTTTTATCTTTCCAGATCCATTCAAAAGTGGGAGCCTCTGCCTCATCGACATCGTTTTGACGACTCCCCATCTCTGGAAAGCTTAAGGTCCGAAGGCATTCTGTTATGTATATTCGAGGTCTTGGTTAGAGATTTCTTGTGAGTGCCAAGCTTGTATCATTGGAACCTACCTCTCCTTTCACGGTCCAGTTCTTTAGATACTTTCTTTTCAGCCTCTGTTACTTCTACAGCCACGAGCCAGTTATTTTCAGGTCTCCAAATTATAAAACTCGGAGATTTTGAAGCTGGCACTGCGGAAAATGGTATATTTCGGATGAAGAACTAACCCAGGCTTTATCCAGGGTAATTCTTCAAGCGCAATTCAAATTTTCCTCATTAACAGCTTCTAAATATCCAGTTGACATTTTTGGACTTCACGGGATCATGCTAACAACCCTTTAAAACATCCCCAACCATTCTGTCGAGCTCCCCCTTCACCAATTTGTAATCGTTATCCTGCTCAGACCCAAACTTACTCATACCAAGATGATCGACGTCAAGACCAATTCCTGTTTCGCCCGGTATGGTAGCCGAATACTCGTCCACAGCCTTAAAGATAATAGGGTTAGATCTTGCAGCAGTTTTCTCCAAGGTTTGCGGCGATCTGCTCACCTGTAATAACGGTATGTTCCATTTTTCGTCATTTTCCTCTCCCAAAAGCTTACTATCTTGAAGCTGCCCCGGTAACCCATGAGAAAATTGTTATTAAGTTCCCTGAGCTCTCGTGCTCCAGGCTTAAGAGATTCGAGAATCTCTGTACTCGATCCAAGCCAATAAGTTCCATGAGAAGATTTTTCCAATGCCTGTTAGTCGCGACCCATCGTGGGGGACATCCAGGAATATAATGCCAGCGATAACATCTTCAAAACTTTTATATCTGCGATCGTTTATATACTTCCTGCCAGCAATGACTAACGCCTAAAACGGGTTAAAAAAAACCGCTTCACACAAGGACTATTGGGAGTGTGGGTGTACCATTTTAATGATTATCCCCCCAAAGCTATGCCTAATAAAGATTACTGGTCGATCTTCACACCCCTTAAACAGACTTTAGCAAGCACCCTCCATGAAAAATACAATGAATCGATGCAGGAAAGTGGTTTTGAACTCCGGAAATCCATCTTTTCTAGGTGGTGGTACAGGACTTTCAATTGGGCTCTGGATAATTCACAAAGTGCTTAAGGGTAGGGTGGTACTTATGTATATACAGTCAGATGGCTGTTTTAGTAGAAATGGACATACCTTACGCACAAGATTCAAATTGTCAAGAAGCTCCTTCCCACAATGTTCTACTGACTTGACTGATGAATCTCGATCCCATTTTGAGTCGTGATTAAACGCCACAATGCGGGCATTGGGAAAGCATTTGGGCAGCAGGTCTCTCAACAACATCACTCCAGATTCATGGGTCCAAGCCCATTCCGGATTCGATCCTAACCCATGAACAGCCACGATACTACCATTTGTCAGCACATGTGCTATAATTCGAGAGGCGGAGTAACTCACTCCACATGTATCCTTGGTGTGTTGTTTTCGGACACAGAATCCGGATAGAAAATAACAATACCAGCTTTGAGTTTAGGCCCGTCTTCCAGAAAAGGCAACAGCAGGAGCTGTGCTGGGGAAAGGGCAAGAGCAATCAAATTCAGTGTAATGTAAGTGATAAAGCCAGCGTTCCGTATTCCTAGAACAGCCCATACAGTATCGTGTTCGCGTAGACTAATCCCTAGGGTAGCTGCAAATACCAGCAAAATTGCAAGGAATCGAGGTTGTGGATCGCTTGCGAAGAGCAGCAGGCAACTGCCGGTGAGCAGAAGTATGTGGTCCCAATGGATCATTTGGAGAGCACAATCCGATTGAATGCTTGAACTAATTTCAACGTATTTGATTGGTGGGAACGATATATAGAGGAAATCTACCTAGAAGCTGAAAGGACCAGATATAAGAACCGGTTGTGCTACCGTTTATTCGATTCATACGGCGCTATTCCAGTCGATAGAGAGTTTGCAATGGAGACCTAAGTCGTTGTACCACTACACTTAATCCTGATCATGCCGAGAATATGTCTTCCTGAACGTGCATGCTCACCTGCAGCTGCTGGAGGTCTGAACTGTCGATTTGGAGGCTTGAAATCTCCACACATCAAGATAGAGTAAGGGTACGGAGAAGAAATATTGGAAACCTCAGATGGCCGTCAACAATTCGTCTCTTTGTAAGAGTATGAAGCAGGGGTGAGTATGAGGATGTCCAGCAGAGCACAGATTGGATCATTAGCGCGACACCCCATCTAGGTCTGTACCTCTTGGCGTCGACCTGGTCTAAATCGCAATGTGCGCATGTAGCAACTTGATATCTTATTCGCCAAATTCTGAACAGGGTTCAGATTGATCCAGCCTTGGCATCGTCGGAGAATCAACCCCGCGTGTCCAGATACCTACTACAGGTATCAGGTTGTCGATCATTGAGCTTCAGTATTGAGTGTCAAGGGCTGGATACGATTCCTATACCACAACTCCTTCACCACAGCAGCTTCACGCTGAAGATTTCAGAGTCCGCAAAACGACGAAGGCGAGACCACCTGGCGACATAAGCCACACACCATGATAGCTACAAGTGCCACAGCTGGCATGGAAGCATTCAATCATCGATCTCACTTTGCTGATAGACGTTGAGCTGTAAGTGTATTACGACTATACACAGCAGTACCTAGTTATATAGAGTGCTACCTTGACATCAGAATAGGAACGCGTCAACTAGGTATTGCGTCGAACGCAAATCAGCGCCGTGCTATTGGTCAAAGCTAGTGCCTAGTAATATCAGGTATAGGGTTCTTTGAGTATACATGTTTCACCATCCGTATACCACCATCCTGACTGGCTTCTCTAGCTACAGCCACTACACATATACTCTACTTCTCCAACCCCTTCAAAAACACAACAAACTCCACCAAATCCTCCGCCAACGCCTTCGGCTTCTCCATCGCCGCGAAATGCCCGCCCTAATCAAACGCCCCCCATTAGTTTCCTTCACCTCCGTATAATAGACGCGCCCACAACTCCATCGAAACAACTGGACAGAAAACAACATACCGTCTCGTGCTCCCTGAACCACACCATCTTCCCCTCCGTCTCAAACTCGGCCCAGATCTTCCCCGTGGGGACAATGTCTTCCGGGAACATCGAATAGCCCACCGGCTTCTTCCACGCCGTTTTTGCGGAGCCAGGTTTCTGGAAAATCTACCACACCCGCAATGTCAATATCGGACTACGAAACGCAACCCCAACAGGAGAAACTAGGGGGGAGGAAGGGGGAGGGAGGGGGAGGGAGGGAAGCTACCTGGCGGTAGGGGTAAATCGCCCTAGGCGCCGTCTTCGTAAACCACCATAACGTCACCAATCTCAGCACGGCTTCCGTGCTGGGGTCCTCATCGGTCCACTCCAGCAGTTTCTCGCCCACCCATGCAAGTAGTGCGAGCGGGCTACTAGAGAGGACGTGGCCAATTGTACTAGGACGTGTGGCGTGTGTAAGACCATATGCCCCGCCGGTTGTGCGGAAAGCTTTGGCACGCTCGAGGCCTCTGAGATCGCCGGGTGTGAGGTTGTCGGTGGGGTATGTGTCGGTGGGGAACAACGCATTGACTACATCCGTGAGCTACAGAACATACACACGGCAAGAGATGGGGAGTTACGATGAATTGCTAGAATCAAACACATTCTGTCAGCACTTGCCTTTCCATTTCTCTCACCCCAGCTACCCAGCATGAAGGAAAACAAACCTTTACAGTCCTCAAAATGGTCCTGCAGCAACCTCGACAGAAAGCTACCGATATCGCCCCCCTGCGCTATATACCCACCACTCTCCTTACCAAAGCCCAGCCCCACCATGAGCGAGTTCATCATCTCGCCCACCTCTATAAGGTCGAAATCCCTATCCAATGGCGGCCCCGACGAAAAGGCGTACCCGGGAAGGCTGGGCACAATGATGTTGAACGCCGGGGATGTAGACGCCGAGAGGATAGTAATGAGGTCGAGGAACTCGATGAAGGAGCCCGGCCATCCGTGCAGCAGTAGGAGAGGTACTGCGTCCGGATCGGAGGAGAGATGCGCTAGGAAGTGGATGTCGAGGGTGGCTCCTAGCGAAGAGGTGATGGGGACGGTGTACTGGGGGTGCTTGTTTATCTCGGCTTCGTGAGAACGCCTAGATGTAGAAGTTGTTAGATCATAAGATTCGGGGTTGGGCGGGGGGAGATGTCAGGGCATTTACCAATCAAACTTGGTCTCCCAGTACTCCTTCGTCTCGCTCATCCATTTGCCCTGCACGCCGAATTGCGGTTGGGTGCTCTCCCATGTTGGCGGCGGAAGCTGGCTCAATTGCAGGAGCGTCTTGAAGTCATCGATCTCCTTTTGGGGCACCTCGATCTTGAAGGGTACCGGAGAAAGCGTAGCGTTCTTTGGAAACGACATTGTTTGACAGTTATTCTCGTGGTGAATTGAGTGTTTCTAAGCCGTTGGATACGTCTGTAGTAGTATAGAGTGGGGATTGAACTGAGGGGTAAAACCGTAGCTTATCGAGCTCCCTTAAATAACAGCTCCCTGCACCCCTTCAGAGAGACAATTACATAAAACGCGTCCTTCCGCGGCCGAGTTTCGGCAAGCTGTTGACCCGTGCCATCCACCGCGCCTGCCACTCTGGGGAGGATCGGCGCCGAATTATAAATATAGCGCAGCGCACAGCAAACCGGATGGGCTACAGACAGACCTCTAGATGATTCCTGTTTTTCAATACCGTGATGATTCTACGCGTGCATGAATGCCATGCCAGACTGGTGACTCAAGACGAAATGATTACTTTGAGAAACAGCGTTTAAGCGAGGAGCCGGGGGAGAGGGAGTTACATGAATATATCGCCGAGTTTATTACCCCGCTTTTGTCACAGGCTTCAACAATGTCCATAATTATGAGCGTCGACACGTGCATCACAGCACGTTAACGCGATTGCCAGAGCTATCTGCGTCACCATTTATCACCCGTGT